TGAGGAAAGTGAAATTATAGAGACAAACGAGAGCTTGTAAAAGACTATGTTGGTGAATACTCTGCTTTTGTCTGGAGAGCTATAACATAACTAACTAAATGTAACAGATGAAGTATGGGATAGAAGTGCCAATGGCAGAAGAGCGTGGATAGAAGTGTCAAGCCTGATGGAGAATTTGCATCTATTGCCATATAAGCAGCCATTCAGATTCTTCAAATCTTCACACACTGGCCTGCACCTCGACAGTTTTATGAGCGAAGTGGCATTATAATCCACTAGAGCAACCATCAGATGTTTCCCATTGACGACACAGCCTGGTCATATAGTAGATGTTGACAATCACACTCTCCTCCAGCTCCTAAACACACATAAGAAAATAAGATAATCCGTTATTGAGTAATAGCAAAGCATACTCTACATAATTCAACACATTGTGAACTCTTAAATAACTATTTTTTATAACTTAAATTTCATTAGCCCACATACCAAATTTAAAAAAAAAACCCAACATAAATGAAACAGACAAAAGCAACAATCCTTAAAATATGACATAAAATGCTTTTATAAAAATGAAAAATAGTATGAAACATGCATGCAGTACACTTGAATAATACTCTATTCATATGAACCATAAGTTGAATAAGTGAAAGACATTATCTATGAGCATTATGCTTTAATACATTAGACATTCCAGGAACCTACTGAGCCCTTCTCACGAAATATTCTCCTATAATCAAAAGTTTTATACTAAATCTGAGGTCTACCTTTAAGGTTACCACAATGCATACAACCTATATGAATATAGAACCAACTGCTCATGCCTACATGACACAAAAATCACAAGAAAACAGGAACAACAAAACCAAAAATCGGCCTAAGAACTAAAAAGAATAAACAACCAAAGAGGACCTAGTTGGTTGAACAAGCACAAGCACAACATCAGGCACAACCACAACAACATCAACCACAACCACAACATCATGATTCTACATGAACATAAACCCATTTTGACATTTTGTACAAACCCATTTTGTACACTTGAATTATAAAGAAACTCATTTCATCAAAATGTGAAAAATAATTTATCTTTATATTTGAATATAAGGTTTCAACTCACCTCTGTAACTAGAGGACGCTCAATCATAATGAGCTCACCCTAGTTTCTCTCTCTTCTTCTTATTTTTGCATTCAACACCTCACGCCTCCATTCCATCTCCCTCTCTCTCTCTCTCTCTCTCTCTCTCTCTCTCTCTCTCTGTATCCACCTACAACAAACACAAGACAATAGAGGTAATTTTGGGTTCGATTTTGAGTTTTTGTTTAGGAATTTTGAATTAGGGTTTTAATTTTTAGGTTTGGGGCTTTTGGGTTTGGGGTTGTAAATTGCAATTGGGGTTTCAAATTAAGCATTTGTATTGTGATTCTAACTATTTTTCTTTCATTGATTGACAGGCATTGGAAAAAAAGTGTTGTTGCTTTGCAATGGTGCTTTGAGGCACGTATTGAATCTGTTAAATTGTTTTAGAACTTGTTTTGGTGTGTTTTAGGTTTTTTAACTTGTTTATAATCTGTTTTAGGTTGTTTTAAGTATTTTAAAATCTATTTTGATGTTTTTGTCTATGTTTTAGGTTTTTAAAGTTGTTTAGAATATGTTTTAGGTTATTTTAACTTGTTTATAATTTGTTTTTATATGTTTGGCTATGTTTTTAGATTGTTTTAAGTATGTTTTTTTATATGAAATATTATAGCTGGTTGTTGGTTAGGGTTTTAAAGTTGCATTTGCTTTGTTTGAAGTTGTTTGGAATGTTTAAAATTATGTTATAGCTAGCTGATTAATTAGGATTTTGTTTGATTTATTGTGTATGATAGGAAAATGGAGTTTAGCCAATCAACACACTTAATGCCTCAATTAGTGCATCTTCGATTGAACCCTAAAAACAACCCTAAACACAATCCTAAACACAACCTCCTCAAACACAATCCCAAACACAAGGCCAAGATGAAGAAGTTGTGTCATCTCATTTGGGAGGGAATAGGAAATCAAATAGAGTATGGTGTGGGATGACTGTACAAAAATTAGAAAGAATGATGATATAGGGGTTGAGAGAATAATTGGGGTTTGCAATTATTGCAAAGCGGATATGCCAGCGGATCCCAAGAAAAATAGGACAACCGGGTTGAAAACCCACTTAGAAAGGAGATGCAAGCTATCTCCTATCTATGGAAAAGGTATGCAAACCAATCAATGTTAGCACAAAGGGGGCAATAAGTAGTGCTTTGGTGCCTCACACCTTCAATCAAGCAAGATCAGAAATGAAGTGTGTGAAGTGCATCATCAAGGATAAGATCCCTTTTAGGGCGGTAGAGAGGATGGGGTTTAGGGATTTTATCCATGATCTTAAACCTAGGTTCTTGATCCCTAGTAGGAAGAAGGTTGCTAAGGGAGTGTGGGATTTGTTCTTAGTTGAGAAGACTAAGATTATGAGTGTGATAAGTGATCAAAGAGTAAATATCACAACCGATACTTGGACCTCTATCCAAAACATCAACTACATGGTAGTCACTGCCCATTTCATGGATCATGAATGGAAGTTACACAAGAGGATAATAAATTTCATTAAGATCACAAGTCACAAGGTTGATGACATTGGGAGGTGTTTAGATTCTTGTTTGAATAGTTGGGGAATAAAGAAGGTGTTTAGCATTACGGTTGATAGTGCTAGTGCAAATGATGGGGCGGTGAAGTATATGGCCAAGCGGTTTAAGTCATTGAATACTCTTATGCTTGATGGCAAATATTTGCATATGAGGTGTGCTTGTCACATTTTTAATTTGGTTGTTAATGGTGGATTGAAGGAGCTTTCTAGCTCAATTGAAGGGGTTAGAAATTGTGTGAAGTATATACATTCTTCACCATCAAGGTTGGATAAGTTTAGGGATTTTGCCATTTTTGAGAGCATGGATATGATGGCAAACATTCCTTTGGATGTGGCAATAAGGTGGAATGTCACTTATAAGATGCTTGATGGTGCATTTAAGTATAAAAATGTGTTTACTAGGATGGTGGACGAGAATGCTCCATTTGTTGCTTACTTTAATGAGCTTGAAAATGATGGGAAAAAAAAAAAAAAAAAAACCTTTGTGAAAAGAGTTAGGCCACCAACCAGGTCAGATTGGGAGAGTGCACAAGCCTTTGTGCATTTTCTTAAAAAGTTTTATGAAACCACCTTAAAGCTTAGTGCCACCAAAACTTGTACATCCAATATCATGATTGGTTGGGTTACAAGTTGAGATTGAAAGAAAAATGAAAGATGAGCGGAGTGAAACTTTGCAAAAGGTGGCTTCTTCAATGAAACTCAAGTGGGACAAGTACTAGGGTAGCTTTGAGGGTGGCAACAATCTTGTGTTTATAGGGAATGTGTTAGACCTTAGATGGAAGCTCGCCTTGCTCAAGATTAGCTTCCGAAATCTTGGAGCCAAACCTTTAAAGATTGAAGCTATTGGGGATGAAGTCAAAAATGCCTTGCTCACTTTGTATAATGAGTATAGAGGGGTTGGTAGCTTGGGTCCCCTACAAACACTAGATGAAGGGGATAAGGACAGTTTGGAAGATGAGTTGGATGGTGATGATGCTCATTCTCAAATGTTGAGGGAGATTTTGCTTCAAAAAAGAGGAACAACAAAAGGAGATCTCTCATGAAGTTGATAAATACTTTGCCGATCCATTTGAAAACCCAAGGAACAAAAACTTCAACCTTTTGGGTTGGTGAAAAGGGAATTAATCAAGATATCCAATCCTTTCCAAGGTTGCCAAGGACATATTTGCAATCTCTTCCTCTATGGTTGCTAGTGAGAATGCCTTTAGCCTAGGCAAAAGGATTGTGGATCCTTTTATAAGCTCATTGACTCCAAAAATGGTAGAGGCATTAGTGTGTACTCATGATTGGCTTAGGGCAGACGAATTTAACTTATACAAGGAACCAGCGGATGAGGAAATTGCTTTTTATAAGGAACTTGAAGAAATTCAAGCAAGTAAGTATTTCAATTATTTATCTTTAGATTTTATTGATGCTTTGATGGTTTAATGCTTCTACTAATATGTACATATTCTTAATTATTATTTTTTCATGTAGTGGCCGCTAAGGCTCAAGGTGGTAATGCTCAAGTTTCTACTTCAACAAGCATTTTGCCTCCTCCAACTCCATCACATTTATAATGCTCAAGTCAAGTGCTTGCTTTTGTTTGGGTTGTAAACTAATTAAAACTTCTTCTTTTTTGGGTTGTAAACTAATTCAAACTTATAATTTTTTTTTTTTGAGTTGTAAACTAATTCAAACTTCTTCTTTTGTTGAGTTGTAACTTAAGTTTAACTATGTCGTACTTTGGATTTGGATGTTTAACTTTAGGCTTCAATTTTTGCTTTGAGCATGTTTAATTGTAGTTTTAGCTTTTAGGCTTTAATTTCTCATTTTATCATGTTTGCCCAAGTACAATTGTCCAAAAACAGTCCCTAAAACATTGCCCAGCAAAACTGGGCTTAAAAACTGCATTCAAATCTCAAATTGTAGCCCAGAAAATGTCAAGTGGGCTAAAAAAAATTGGTCAAAAAAGCCCAATATGTTTGTTTCGGTAGGCCTACCACCAAACCGGCCCGACCGCTACTTGCGATATTACCGACAGTCAGAGAACTGACTGCAAATTGGTCAGCGGCCGTTTCAATTTTGGGTAAACTGACTACCCTTGGTCGGTCATTGGTACTGGCCCACTGAATCGATTCCACCCCTAGGCTATACTATTTAAAATTCAAAAGTGTATAATGTTTAGGAATTTTTGCGTTGTGCTATACTATAAATCCCCTGCTTCATGACGCCACCCCATTACAAAAGCTTTCAAACCCTAGAGCTTTTCGAAAATTGAACTTCTGTTCAAGAAAGAACATACTGGCATACTGCACATCAGAGACCAATAGAAAAAGAAGAAAATAAGAATATAGTCCACAACTTAATCACTTTTTTTTAATAAAAAAAATCTCTAGGGATGCTATAAGCACATTTTAATCTGGGCTATCAGAAGAAGTGGAAAAGTCCTGCAGATGCCAATATCCCAGCTTATAGCATGCAGATTGCAGAGGACATGCCACGGTAGAGAATCTCTTCAAAATACTCTTCAGTGTCCTTAAAAAAAAACTCATTTTCCTAGAACGAAATGGAAGAAAATGACTTAGTGCCCCCTCTTCTTTCAGAACAGAGAGAAAAAAAAGTGTTGATTTCGAGCCTTATGAACACTACGTTGTATTTACCGCTGCGTGCCCCTGGAAAAGGATGGAAAAGAAAATAAAAATGAAAAATCAAAACCATAAGAAGTTATGTTTTCTTATCAAACTTTTCATCCTAAAGTATATTACAGTTATCAATAACTAGAAGAATACAATAATGTGTTTCCAATTCAGTGACTCTCAATACTGCACCTTGCTCACAACATCGAAGAACTGATGAAATAATAAAAAACAGATCACACATCACAGGGTGTACAAGTAATCTCTTCTACAATATTTATCCTTGATGTGAAAAGGATGAAAGAGTAAATTGGATAAGAGAGGCCATAAGTGATTCTTTTTTTGTTTTTGAAGTTTAAAATAAATTTAAAATTTAAAATTAACTCAAGGCAAGACAGGAGAGCTCTGAAAGAAGAAATTAGGTACATTAGGTTGATGAGCAAAAATTTAGATGTGAATCAAATCTACTTCTGAAAGACCGATATTCGACTGGATAATGAAATTTTCAGAAATTTAATGTGCAAACAACATTTGTTTTCAATCAATTCAAGCCACTTACAAATACCAACACTGAGATTTTCATGAGTTCAGCTATTTGCCTACATCCACAAGCGCACCCATTGACCAGACGGACCTAAACAAATCCATTAAAATACAACCCCAACAGCCAGTTTTACTCATGGCTTCATTGCCAGCCTACTATAATCTCACTTTTAACAAGTCATTCATTCTAATACACGCTATGGTTTTAAGATTTACAACTTCTCCAAAACCGAACTAAAAAATAAGCCATATGATATGAGTAAGTCATTATGTGTGCAAACTGTCTCATTTACGTAGTTAATGTCCAATCAAGCACAAACAGTCGAAACAGAACAAAGAACAGAAGAGAAGAGAACTGAGCATACCTCAATGCTGTTATCCATTGCCTTCTATAGGAGCTCTATACGTAAGTCATTCAAATTTTGGCATTTTTGGTCTACCGCTGCCACATCGCAGTCAACCAAATAGTGTGTGGTTGCTCACCTCAAAATAGACACACCGAAGGGTGGTCTGATTGTTTCTTTTTTCTTCTTTATGATTTGCTACCTACCCAACCTAAGGGCATCTTCATTCACTTAAGTTCAGAAACCCCACCCAAAATGGTTGATCTCCAAAATATCCTTTTAAGTTAAGAAAATTATGCTATTTCAGTCTCCTAACCCTACCCTAGTACACGGTGACTACCTAAAGAACTCCAATAACCTGACTATGTGTTGACTTCATCCTGACTGTCTTAGCTAACAAATTCATTTGGCGAAGATTCCATTGAGATAACAGATTCAGTATACTTTTGTGCAGACAATACAAAACTTTATGGCATGTCAAGTGACACTCACATGAAGGAGTAACCTTTAGATCTGTCTACTCTATATACTTAGTCAGCATGGCTTTTTAGATTTCTTTTCAAATGCTTAATATCACTAAGAGAGAATCTGAAAAGTTTCCAACTGACCATCCAAATTCTGGTTGTTAAAATTGTAGAAAGTGATTCCTCTTGGTTTGGGGGTGTGGGGGAGGATTTTTTTGCATCTAAACAAAAGTAATGGACATTATCTAATGAGGACTTAAGGTGAAGACTTATGTTCTCATTCGAATGCCTCCCGACACACACACACGTATATACCATATACAGACTGGATCAGGAGCAGATGTCTTCAGTCCACACTTGAACAGTGGTCTTGTTGATGAGATTAATTTTAGAAAATAACATATACATATAATTATACCTGTGGTTCTTTCTGCAGTTTGCTCAATATAGTATCCAAGTCTGTGTGCATTCTTAAGCCATCTGAAGGTAGTTTCTTTATCAAGTGTAGTATTGCTGAGGCAGCTTGTTCCTGAATGCAAACAAAGGGATTAAATTCAGTCAGCTCTAGCTGTTTGCCTGCCAGCAAATAACTAATGGGGCATTTCAAAATATAAAAAGGAGAAAGAAGGTGTGGATGGATTTCAATGTTCAAGAACCAAATGAGTAACAGAGGGTTAAAAAAAGGCAGATTGCAGGAAGATTTTAAAAAAGAAATACTTGATCAAATTAGGCAGCAATTCGCAAAGGAAAGAAATATATAGAGTAATATGAGTAAAAGAATCAACAATTTTAAAATTTTTTTTTCTATTAAACTATCTCTTACAACAAATAAACCTGCACTGCTCTGAATGGATAATGTTGAGACAGAAACGAAAAGATGCATACTTTGCTTAGTATGATGAACAAAAGTGCAAAGATATAGTATCATATTTGCAAATACTTTGGACTAATATAACTGTACTATAAAGATAAGTATAACATGTCAAAATTCATAATGAAAAAGAGAAGCGTGTTACTGGCAAAGAATAAGAGAGAGGGAGAGAGAGAGAGAGAGAGGAGTGTTACTGGAAAAGAATATATAGATCAAAGGATCCTTTCTCAAACACAAATTAATCCTACTTAAACTGCAATCCTAACGATGCATAAAAGCATGTCTACCCCTGAAAAAATCAATCACCAAGTGCCTAAAATATAGCCATCTAAGAAAAAGGAAACCATCATTAATCCATCCCCTGTCACCATAACTTCTAAACCGTCATCTTTAAAGGTTTTAAGCTCAGAAAAAAAAAATTACCAGGATGGGAGCTTAGCAGAAAATAAAAAATAAAAAATCACAGAGGAACTTTGCCTATAAAAAATTATTAGAGAGATATGGCAATGAGGTTACACAATCATGATGACTGTATGGAAAACATATTTGATAAAAAAAATAACTGAGAATGTAATTAATTACCAAATAGCATAACACATAGTAAATTCATAACCCAGACCTTTACTCTTGGAATTGAATGTTGGTCAAGTGCAGTAACTAGTGCAGGCACAATCCTCAAATGATGGAGGATTTGCATTGCCTCTATTAGGGTTATAGGCAGTTGCATAAAATTAAAAGCTGCACAACAAACTCGAGAATGGGGATCTTGGAATGATTTCAAAATAATGCTCGTAACTTGTTCCAAACAATTTTTCATCAGTACCTGCAGTAAAGGAATGGTTTGAGAGACACTGAAGATTTAAGGATCATATACAATCATGAAATAATAGGTACTGGATACTAATTAAATACTAAGTCAACACAAATTTGCTCACTATGAATAGTTCAGACTGTCAGGAGGTAATCTAGCTTTATCATTAACAAACCTTAAACCCCAGAGTCTCAGGCCAGATGTGCAAAAAGGATACAAGAGATACAAGTAAAACAGAAAATGTATGTGGTGTATACAACATTCCTTTATTTTTTATTGATACCTACACAAAATATTTATTGATTGATTGAACCATATCGAAAATAAACAGGTTATACTTGGTAAACCAACTACCATTTTCCTTAATCATTATACTTAGAGAAGGTGCAATTCAGTATCATATAAATATTCCCGAATATCAGTTAATAGTATGTAAACAAAATTCATGCAATAAACCAGGCACAAAGCTATTACCATTTCACCGGAGCACTCCTTTGCAATCACTGCAAGCATAGAAATTCCTGCGTGACGCTTCTTCCAATCGCAAGCATCCATGTACTCCAAGAACAACTCAAAAGCAATGGGGGTCATTGTCTTTTCACCTAAGGCAGTTGAAATTTTTGTCAGGTATGCAATTCCAAGATCTGTCTTCCCGACATTCGCACCCTGGTCACTTTCCTTGTTGTAACATTCATTGTCATCATTTATACAGAGAAGCAGTTTCATTGGGACTGTGAGCAGCCTAACCAAAGTCTGATGCGGTAACCCCCTCATCGTAAGTGCCAAATCGCTTGCTTCTGCTATGGTTAGCAAGAATTTGTGAACAAACACTTTGGTTCCCTCTGTCACTTGTTCACTCTCTGCTATCTTAAGCATGTCAAGTACTAGTTCATTAAGGTATGGCTTCAAGAGTTGTGGCTCTTCCATTACCAACATTATTAACTCTTTGAGAGCCCCTCGGGCATAGTCTTCTTTCAAGCGACTTAACAAATTAAACAGTCCAACCATCATCCCTCTCAAAAGGTCATGAAACCAATTCCGCCCTGATGAATTCGAAAACAAATGAATCAAACTAACCACAGCACTAAATGTGGCGACCTGAATATCAGCATTTTCCGAATTCAACGCACTTAAAAAAGCCAAGTGTATAGGTTCAATGCTGGGAGCTAAAGCTTTACAAGCAACGGGGCGGTACACTTTTGGCAGAAAAGCAAGCACCCACAAAGCAGAAAGTTGAAACCTTTCAGAATCCGACTGAAAAGACTTCAACAAATACTCAATGAATTCTGGCCATTCATTGCCAACCCCAGAAATCTCTGATGCCATTTCAGATGCAATGGCACAGAGTATCCTCAAAGTGGGCAATGAACCCTCTTCTTGAAGAGAAACAAGAAAGTTGTTCTTCATGTTAATTTGAGCATTCAAAGACAACTTAGGCCAAAGGTCACAAAGCACAAAACGAAGAACCAGGGCTGACCTGGCACGAATGTCAGCAGAAGGGCCTTGCCTGATCACATAGAAGAGCTTTATGAATAACAAATCTGGGAAGTGCTTTCTGCAACAATGGAGAAGACTATAGGCTTGAGATCGTTGGGGTTCCTGGGGGCTGAAGAGATGAGAGAAGAGGGTCTCCATGGGATGCGCATCTTTGGAACTTAGAACGCCGTAGGCTTGTGTTTGCAATTGCACCGAAAATTCGGAGTCCATCGTTCTTCACTTTTTTGGGTTTTCAAAAATCGTCATATCAAATGTGGGTTTGGCTGAGAAATCAATCAGAAAAGCAGAATCGGCTACAAGTTGGGCATTGACGGTTCATTTTTGCTGATGTAAACATGGGTTTGGATTATGAGACTTGAGCCACAAGGAAGCTAAGAACCAGAGCGAAAATGGAAGGCTATAAGGAGGAGCTCTGCACTCAAAACTACCCTATGCAAGGTTTAATATTTTTCTTCTTCTTAAGAAAAAGGCTAATAGTTTCTCTCTTTTTCACTTTTCGTCTTTATAGTTTTAATTGGTCAATTATGCTCCTGTAGTCTCATAATTATAGCAATTTAAGGATAGGTCACGAATTTTGTCAATTTCTTTCATGATGTCAAAGGTTTTTTCGTCCATTTCTAGTTTTAAAAAATTAGAAACTTAAATTAAAATTTTTTTTCAATCACAAACAAGAAACAAGCAATTGATTTGTCATTGAAATGAAATTCCAAAGTGACCAAATTAGCAAATAATAATAAAAGCATTCCCAATCTAGCTCTAAATTAATTGATCAACAAACCCAAATGTCAAAATCAATAGTTGGTGGAAATTCCCCGATCCCGTTAAAGAATTTGATAAAATTCACAATTTGTCCTTGAATTGCTACAATTATGAAACTATAAGGGCATAATTGACCAAATTGAAACTATAGGGACGAAAAGTGAAAAAGATGTCAACTATAGAAATTAAAAATGACTTTTAGCCTAAGAAAAAATAATGTAAATATAACAGAAAATTTAATTTATTTCAATTGATTGCGTTATTGGGAGAGAAAAAAACCAGTTTTGCACCATAAATCTCTATTTATTGCAGACCTTATCATATAAATAAATTAGGTCCTCAACTTGTTTAGTTATTATTATTTTTAAATATTGTAGCCCTATTAAAAATTCAGATTTTAATATGAATATGATTTAATAGGTTATAGATTGTGATTCAATTTTTTTCTATTTGAATTGTGCTTGAAATTTGACTACCCATCAACCCAACAAATAAAAAATAAATTAGAGATAATCCAACCCAATTTGATATAGTTATCTTTTACAAATATTACATATGTGTTTAAGGGCAGCTCCGGTCCGGTATTATAATTCAAATGAAAAGCACATAGTAATTATGAGAATTAATCACGTCTAGTCGTTATAATGGATTATAAAATAATTTGAAAGAATATGAATCCAGACTTATCAAATATGGAATAATAAGGTTTAGTGGGCATGCCAAAAGAAAATATGTATAAAATTATTTTAGAATAATTTATTTTTATTTTTTGGGAGAGATTTTAGAATATTTCTTTATATCCAAGTTCGGATCCCCTTCTTCATAAATTAGAGCATGACTCAAAATGTCACACATTGTAAAAAAAACAGAGGCTAAATGTTTTTAAATTTGCCCAAATTTGACTATTTTTTCGGAATTTGAGGCCAACACTTGAAGGGAAGAGAAGGGGGACACACACAGGGCACATTGAGCAAAAGACCCTCACCGGGAAGTTTGGTTTTTTAATAATAAAAATTTCAAATCATTGGCGCGAAAACTTCAGAGTGGGTGTTTTTAAAGCATATTATAAAACCTTCCAAAACTTCAAAGCGCGAACGCAGCAAGAACAGAAACTTTGCTTATCAGAGATTGGAGCATTGAAATGAGCTCAAAGAAAACTCCGCCAAGGTTTAGGGCTGTAGGGCAGCGCTCACTTCCTTCATTATTCTCGTCTTGCTCAAAAAAGTCGTAAGCGAAAAGAAACACAAACCCTTTTTTTTTTTTTTTGTAATATATCTTCTATTGATTATTTTTTTGTTCCAATATATAATGTTTGCGCGTGAAATTAGTGTCAAGGCTGTAGAAGAAGATCCCGATGGGGGCTCGCATGTGCCGGTCTCGGAACGGAAGCCGCACCAGACTGCTGGAAAACCCACGACAGTAAAGGTACCCTTACGTTTATTGGCTGTTGAGAAATTGGTGAGGGGAAAGGAAAGACTATCAAATATTGGGTTTTATGTTGTCTGTTAAATTTTACTTATATTTTCATTGATAAATGGAAACCAAAGGGGCGATTCCTCTCTATTGTTGCCTACCTTTACATATGTGAATCAATAGTTTAAGGAAAAATTGTAACTTTAAAAGAACTATAAGAAATTGGATGGAGATACTGGAAAATTTGGGACTTGAAATTTAAAAAGATGGAAATTTTGGAACTTGAAATTTGTATTTTCCTTTTAGAAGCATTTGGGTCTTTGATTTAGAAGTTGTAACTTGAAATTTGCAAATTGATGGAGCATTTGGGTCTGTGATTTAAAAGTTAAGCTTGAAATTTGCAATTGGATGGAGCATTTGGGTCTTCGATTTAAAAGTTGAAACTTGAAATGGATGGAGCATTTGGGGCTTTAATTTAAAAGTTGGGGTTGAACTGAAATTGGTTTAAATTCTCAGGCAAGGTTGAGGCCCTTCTCGTCAATTTTTGGCCTGAGAGATTTAAGTGAGTGCACTGTTCATGATGAGCAAATTGAGGCCAAGAAAGGCGGGGAAGCAGAGAAGAATCATGTTGCTGCTTTATTGGCTTTTGAACAATTCAAGCATACTGATGTAGGAAAAGGACATTCTTTAGGTCCATCCACTGATGGTGGAGTAGAAAGTTCTAACGGAGATGTTGTAAAAGAATCAAGAAAAAGGAGGAACCCTTTTGAAGGTTTGCCTTCCTATCTCAATTTCTCTTGTGCAAAGACGTTCTTAGAAGAAACTAAATCTTCTCTTGCTTGCTGATTTGTATTTGGTTGGTCTTCAGGGAAACTAGAGGAATATAAAATATTATTGAAAACTGAATATTTTCTTTATGTTGCAACTCAATCAATTCCATAGAATATTGCATGCTCAGGACTGGGGTATTGTTTACTGGATATTATATGTATAGAAGTCAATGATCACAATTCTGTTTCGTTTATATTATTATTCTCTATAAAATTAAGATTAGTTTCTTTTCTTTGAATAATTCAACGGCCCCTGTGCTGTCAAGAATTTGGTTGTTCAGTTCATCAGTAGTATCAATGAGCTCCACAACAGGGAGTAGAGTTAATCAGTTTTCCATGTCCTTACATGCTAATCCTTATAGTGCATTGACTCTCAAGTAATATGATTAACAGTTGTGCTATGTACGTGCGCTTATTAATTCTAAAATAAGTACAAATATAGAATAGATTGCAACAGAGTTTTGGTTGGAGGAATGTGGTGTGAGAATTGAAATGAGGTCCCACCAAGGTGTTAAGTGAAGTACTTCTTTGTCTATATGTATTAACAGGGGATGCATATATCTGAGTTGTTTTAGGTATGTATTGAACTTTTCCTCCCACGTGGTGCAGGATGTACGTCCATTGGATGCAGGTCTGACTCTAGGTGCTAGATTCCTTAATAGGCCTGAATTTTAGACAGGGATAAAATTAAATTGCAGAAATGCTCAAGTTTCTCTATGTTGGTATAAGATTGAGTAGCAATCTGAAAGAACATCCAATGTGAATGCTTCGTCAGTTCATGAACATGCATGTAATAATGTAAACCCTGGGAAACATCTGAGGAACATGCGTAGACATCAAACATGGTTCATGGATGGACATCTTTGTATGTATCTGCCAACATGTGTTACACCAAACATGGTTCATGGATTTCCATGTCTACCAGTTTTTTCTTTCGGTGGTAAAGGTCCTAGGCTCTGAAATTCATAGTACTTCTTATCATCTCTATAACTAAAACTAGAAATTTATATGAGTTGGGTCTGTGCTTAATATTTGTGATCATCTCATTATCAGCAGTTCTTTCGGTGGTAAAGGTCCTAGGCTCTGAAATTCATAGTACTTCTTATCATCTCTATAACTAAAACTAGAAATTTATATGAGTTGGGTCTGTGCTTGATATTTGTAATCATCTCATTATCAGCAGAAATTAGAACTTTGATATTGTGAAGAACAAATATTGCAGTGCAGAGTTTTCTCTAACAGTAATTATATATATATATATATATATATAATGGACTGTCATAAATTGGTGACAAAAATTTCTGGGAAGATTCAAGATTAATGAGAAAAGTTGGTAAGTGAAGTAGAAACATAAAAGATGGACAAATGAGCTGAAGACATCATGCTTTAGCATATACACCACAATATGTTACATTTGATTTTTTAGTTTCCAGCAGTAAGACTCGAGGTATAAATTTTTTATTGAGTAAAATCAACTGAAGCCACCTTTATATTCCAGCTAAAACTTTTTTTCTTACTCGATCAACTTATGTCCTTGGTTTCTAACCGACCACACCTTGCCCTTCTCTTTTTAATTAGCTGGGGTTGACAAGCACATTGCAAGAAAGCATTTCACAATGCTTGGAGGTGATTCAGAACCCAGCCAGACAAGAAGGAATGAGAGTTTTATAAGCAAGGAGAAACCAGGACCTGTTTATAACTACAGTTAGTATGCTATATCTTGACTCAGAAATGGTGTAAACAGTTATTATTTCATGTTTCTCTGTGAAGCACAGTTTTCTTTTTCCTTTGTATTATGTCTTGAGGTGTGTCATTTTCATTGTTATTTTCCATACACCACAACTATACACATGATGTTCTAGTTGGTTTCTACTTATTTAGCACATACACCACAAAAGCAGAATATACATCGCATGTGGTTTGATTTAGAAGCAAGATTTGAGATGTTAAAAGTTTGTCTAGGAAAATCATCTGTAGCACCTTTATGTTCCAGCTAAAACTTTCTAGTTTTCCTACTCAACCAACTTATGTCTTTGGTTTCTAAATCTGACCTACCAACCCACCTTTCTCTTTCAAATAGGCGGCGGTGGCAAACACACTATAAGAAAACATTTCGCAGTGCTTGGAGGTGATCCAAAACCAAAACCACAAGCCTACCAGAAAAGGAGAAGGAATGAGAGTTTTGTAAGCAAGGAGAAAGCAGGACCTGTTTATAATCACTGTTAGTATGCTATATCTTGAATCAGAAGTTATCTTTTCATGTTTCTCTGTGAAGCACAGTTTTTCTCCTTTTATGTTTTGTCTCTTGAGGTTGAGGTGTGTAAGGTTGTTATTGTTGTTTAGTAATTTTGGTTCCTGATTTGTGGTAGCAGATGCAAATGGGTGTGGCTGGTGGGACTGCGACAGGGAAGGCATTGACAATGAAGAAGTAGGCCTCAATGAGGTATGGGAAGGAGTGGGC